AAGTCATTGACAACTTTTAACAGTTAAAGAATATTGTATATACAATCTTACACATAAAAGGTCTCTTTAAGTCTCCATCTGTTGCTGCATAGTACAATGTTAAAAAGCACCGAAATATATTTGTTAAATACGTGAGTCAATACGTAACCCTAAGGCATAAAAACTACTTTTTTGTGTATTTTGATTATATTCAAGATAAGATGAAAATGTTACACCTGAAAAACCATGAAAAAAAATAACTTTTTAAATTAAAATATTTTTCTTAAAATTGTTTTAGAATTTGTGTATTGGTCAGCTTCGTTTTCTCGGTTTTTTTTGTTTGTTTTATTGTTTTTTTTGTTCTTTTATTTTTTTTTTACAAATAAACGGAGAATGAAAACAATATTTATAATTTTGTAATAAATTAAATTTGGTCCCAAATAAAACTTAAAATCAATCAAATGAATTCAATCTATGTCCATGCGTATATATGAAATAAGCCCTCAGGGATAAGAATGACAAGTATGTATATTCACGACAAATAATGACCATTACAAAATTCGTGTATAATGTGTTCATGGACGTATATTGTATAACCATTAGAACTGTATATAACTTTTTATATTTATAATTTATAATCTCAGTTAACGAATTTCGAATGTCCAGTTGATGTTGACGCCACGAACTGCTTGTAATAGATGACACGTTTTCACCGCGACCGATTGATTATATAAGACAAATCTTCGTGCCGTGTGCAAATTGTCGTCCCTCCTCTGATATATAATTAGAGTTCCGTCTGAAATTCTGTTTTTTCTTAAAATGAGGAATACCTAATTTACTAGCAATAATTTCACAGAAGTGTTCGCTCTTTGCATACTTAAATACAAAGTTCCATGTAACTGTGTAGAATTCTCACTTAAAATGTTTTACATATGTTATTTTTGGGGCTTTTTATAGCTGACTATGCGGTATGGGTGTATATGTAAAACTTAGAATATTTACACGCCATTCGTTCTTCCTTAAATATGATCATTATATCCAGCTTTCAAAGAATTTTTCGAATTACACGTGTATGTCTGACCGCCTATTAGATTTTCTATTTAGAAATCGTTTTGTATTACAAATCATGACAGAGCGTAGGCAAATACTGTCCTCTCAGTCAAATATTAATAGTGTACAACATGTCCACGTTTTTCGAGAATCAGATTCAGCAACCAACGGCCGCTCCACTAAATAAATGCCTCTACAAAGAGAACTGCATAAGCTATCGTTTGTTAGCGAGGGTATACTATACAGATAATTCCTTGCCCCTCCCTCGCAAAAAAAATGCATACGGAATAAAAAAATTAAGAAAAGTATATTAAATTGTTATAGAATAGCGACATTCGATGTCAGCAACTGCCGTCGTCAAAGTTTTACTTTCATATCAATAATTTCCAAAACGTGACAATATACGGTGCACGTGACAGGTATACTTACACTTCATGTGGACATTTTATATTATATTATTTAGATATTTCAATTTTATTCAACAAATTTTCTTTTGTGCAGCATTTAGAAGTCTTGCATCAACAACTATAATTTACTTAATTTATTGATATGTATTTTTTTTAAGGGGGAATATTTGATGAAGATAAATTATCTTACGAAAATCAATAACGTTTGGAATGGACAGACGATAGAAATATCTATCGGGGTTTCTTTTCTGCTTGAGTGATTTTCCTTACAAGGAGGCTGACTTTTTAAAGTTTAAAAGGAATTAACATCAGTTTGAATTATTTTAACGGGAGCGTGGCTTGTTAGTTTGACGGTGGTTAACTGGGTCTTAAAATATCTTGAATGACCGCAAGGGAATCTATTTGACTTGTATTAAAATAGTTTGAAATAGATGGAATAAGATAGAAAACCGTTTTTAATTTTTGTTAATCTGATTCAATATTCCAGTAACCTTTTTTAAAGATGGGTAATACCTATTTGGCCGTTTAAGCTAATTTCTGGTTACTAGTGTAATCTAATATAATTAAGGCTGGGAAACTGATAGGTTTCAAATCGAGTGAAAATTGGATATCGCTCTTTGAAATTCGAGTTTTATTTAATTCCAATATAATTCATTTAGTGATTATGTTTCCTTTTGTTGTTTCAGAGCTAAAATATGGAAGTTTTTATCAAACAATCACAGCCTTTCCCCCATGTACTGCAATATTAAATGATTTCCTTAAAACAAGTTTTTAAATAAAGATATTAGTTACAACAATTACAAATACGAACATATTTAAGCACACCTTATATGGTGCGCACGACTGTAATGACTCATCACATTGATTATTGGAGTGTAAAGGATGTTTAGTACATTTTGTAAATGTAACATGTTAACAAAACATGAACAAATAAGTGAGTACTGTATGTTTTATACGTTATGACGAAAATTACTGTAAAAAAAACCTTCGTGGTTTCTGTTAAACATTGGGCTTGATTTACCACAGAATTCCTATTTGGTATTAAATACAATGAAAAAAATACACGTTATTACTGACAACAATTATTCCTATTGATAACGATGTTTTTAAATTTTTTACGTTAAATCAGACAGCCTACAAATGAAACGTAATTCATTTGATGTAAGTTAAGGTCTTTCATTAAAGCCTTTCCTGAAAAATATTCTAGAAAAATGGGTAACTTTGTGAAGATTAATTATGATTTTGAATCAGTCTCCGTGTATAAACTTAGAATTTGTTAAGAGTTCAAGTTTTGAACTCCCACAGGCAATGCTGACCGGAGATCTTCTTATCTTTTACTCTTCCATTTGATTAACAGATAGATACATATATCGCTCATGAATTCAAATCACTTTTTCGTTTTTGTAAATGTAATTTTTGAGTTTAAGTTTTTAGGTTGAAGATAAAGCAAACCAAAGAATTTCAAATCCGCCAAACTTATAAAGTGTTATTTTTACTTTAACATTAGTGTGCTTAGTTGAAATTTGAGTCTTAATAGAGAATATATACTTTCATTTAACAAAAAAGCAGAAGAAGAAAAAAAGCCAATTTCCCATAGTGATATGCCCAACTTACAAGCATTTATCATGTAATGGAAGTAATGATGTTCAAAAGATATTTAATGATGTTTATACACTTTGAATATTAGATATAAAACAGTAGAAGAAAAATGTCTTGCTACTTTGCCAAACAGATATAATCGAACATGTTTTCATCCAGCTATGTCTTTAGAAAAGTATTTCATTACTTCAAATTCAGATAAGATCTCATTCATTTCACTATTAAAATAAAAAATTCCGAAATTCTGCATCACTTCATTTGCATGTTCATGTGAATATCAATATAGGCCTATCAGTTGTATTCAGTACTAAGCAATAACGCAAACGACTTGCATTTGGCATACACATATGTCTTGTGTTCACCCTCTTGAGATAATTGCAATGACACATTTGCAAAAGGGAAAAACAAATTATTATTCGCTCACTCAAATTTGGTTAGAATATTATAAAAAGATGCGCAATTGACTGATAGATATTCACACCAGGTACCCTCTATTCATTTCTAAATTGACACTTAGTTCCCTGAACCATGTTGAAAAAAAAGTTTTCGAAGAAACACCCGAAAATATTAAGTATTATGTTTCCCTTATAACTACGTGTATTTGATTAATCACACGTTCCATTGTTTGACAAGCTAATTAGTATCGAACAAGTTATTTTCAGGGACGTACAATAATTCAGATGAAATCTGATGCTGATAGAGAAACTGTTGCAGTTAAATCGTACATTTTTTCACTAATATATCCAATTGGGCTATATTAATTACATAAGGTCAATATTTATTTATATGGTTTTGGATAGTAGATGTTCAAGAAAGGCGAAAAATACCAAAAAGACATTCAAACTCATAATTCGAAAAAAAACTGACAACGTCATGGCAAAAAAGAAGAAAAAAAAACATAGAGACAAACAACAGTATCCATATCACAGCAAAGAAACCCTAAGATAGAAAAAAACGAAGCCCTCCCCTCCCAAAGAAACCCTCAGTGCTCCAGAAGTGTAATCAGACCCTGCTCCACATGTGGCACCCGACGTGTTGTTCATGCAAGTACAAATCTGGTGATTCATTTCAATAAAGAAAAGCGACAAGGAAGAGACAAAAAGAAATAAAAAACAAACATTCATTGAGTCCAACGGGTTAAGGAGTATATATCTTTTGCATTTCTTCGCGTTTTGCCTTGTTTGACAAAATTTGTATTGGGCTTTCTAATTTGAAAGGACCTACATGCATTTACGAAAGCAGCCATGTTCTTAAGGTGTATCTTGATGTGGTAGTGTTATCCTTTCTTATAAAATGAACAATGATTATTTTGTCTGAACTTAAGGATGTACTTAGGTCAGGTTTATGAATTATTGTCAGATGTTCTGACTCCTTGGTTTTTTTTCCTACGATACAGGGTAAACTATTTTGTACCATAACACCCATTGTTCTTTTCATATAAGACTTCGATAGCTCATAAAATGTCATTTATCAAAATTTAAGCAAATTCTAGATTTCTTTTCTTTTGATTTGAGATCCAAAAAATATCAATGCAAATATAAGGTAAAAATCCGAGTAAACCTTTTCCCGGCATTTTTTAAAACTTAAATATCTAGAAAAGGAGCTCCATAACCTATCAACATTTTTAACTTATTTTTTTCATTAACTAATGTTCTTCTGACTTATAGTATCAATTTTAAATTCTAGATTTTTTTAATTTCACCTAAGTACATCCTTAAATATTGTTTTTGTTTCACCAAAATATTTGTAGCTCACAAGTTCCACTAGGAAGAAAATAAATTTTATGTTCCGAATTATAGTAACATGTTGCGATATGTTACATCTATGCTCTGCTAATGTGCTGGTGAAAGTGTTTTAAGTGTTGCATTGTTTACATCGCTTACAATGGCTTAGAAGTTGGTTTAGATTATAAAATGTATTACAGTACTACAGACAATTTAAAAAATAGGAAAACTCTTCACTTACCAAATTAAAGGACCTGCCTCCATACTTATCATTAATAAAGGCAACACAATCATGTGCACAACAGCAAGACCAAAGAAGCACACACTCTAGATAACAAATATGAATAACAAGATTTGAAAAAAATATATCCAATCATTGGTATCTTCTTATCTTTTCACTTAAGTTAACATTACTTGTCTAAATTATTGTATTTTTCAAATTGGTAACTTTGAGCCAATCAAAAAAGGTTGAAAATGTTCACAGAACATTATCTTCAAATTCTCCAGTGTGTCGCTTAAATACATGTTTGTTTTATAATTTCGAAAAACGGTTGTCTCAATTTTATCGTTTTGTTGCATGAAACTAAATACCATTACATCAGTTTTTACATTTTATTCCTATTGTAAATATTATAAATATTTGTTTTCAATAGATAGGCAAAAACAGCCATATGAAGACGAAATTCTCTTCTTCTGGATGTTTATTTTTGTATTTTCTTTTGTTTTATTGATAACAATACACACTTAATTTGTCTTGAGAATCAGTTGTCCCCCTGCTTTAATCAAGTCCTTACTTTTAATTTAAGCGTAATTACAGGTATTCTTTCACATATATCTTTACTGATGATTACTATAATCCTAAACTAACCGTTTGAATATCTAACTTTTCTGTACCGTACCACATTTCATTTAAGATATTCTTCACTGTGCTGTTGTCGAGAAAAGTCTTATTTTGAGTCTTGATAGCATCCTCTATATATCCATGATTTACCAATAGCCGTCCAGCATGGTTAATATGGTCTCCCAATTCTTGTTCTTCTTTTTTTTCTGAATCTTTATCAGAATTGTGTAATTTGTTCTCTCTTATTTTCGTAGATACATCCTTTTTTTTCTTGTCAGCCTCGTAAATACAGCTTGTTATTCGAATTGCTCTCTGGGTAATTGCACTTTAAAAAAGGGTTACAATGCTAACAGAAAAACAGCTTTGATTTTATTTTTCGTAGATCTCGAATTGAAGGGTTATGCGCTATAAATTTAATGGATCGATTAGCATTTACCAGATTTATGATTTTTGGTCATATGGGGTTTTAATGTTTACAGTTATTGCTTTTTTTGAATTTAGATAACAAATGCAAATGTTGGGTCGTAAAAAAATTGTGAAGGAAATAAAAGTAAACATCAAAATATCCGATGATTATTAATTAGTTTATAAACTTTTTGTTGGCGCTTTGATGAGCTATACGTTTAAGTGTAGTGCTACATGAGTTTTCGCTCGTGAATCAACGTTGGTAAAGCGAATGGTGTATTTTATGGACCAAACACATGAAATGAAGTAAACTAAGGCAAGGATATTTAAAACATCTAAGATGTTAATGCTAATGGTAAAGTATGCGATACGACACAATACATTTCAAGGTTAAATTATAATTACCGTTTGAATCGTTGCAATTGCTCCTTCTGGAATGAATTTGTACTCCAGTGGCTGACTTCATCTTCTAAGATTACACATCCGATGAGAATATAACGAATCCTAATCTGAATTATAAAACATATCAATACAAGAAGATTTTAGCTGGTAAGTTATGTTAATATGCTTAACTTCTCATTTGAAGACATGTTTTTTTAACAGATTAATAGGTTTAGGACATCATTCGTAAATATAGATCATTATGCAGACATCTAATACGTTCAGGTATTTCACATCCGATCTTTTATGGTAATATTCTATACAAAGCACACAAATGTAGTCAGCATGGTCATTCACCACAAAAGCTAATCAAACCGTTGAACAGACTTATTCAGAAGGGATAAACTTACGATACTGTTGTCAGGTCATAAAAGATGGCATATTTTGGAAGTAACATTGATTCACTCGTAGGGTCTTTGCATCGGGAATAAACACATCTATTCTAAAACCAGTTGTTGGCATGATACGGATATGTTTTTCTCATATAGTTTATGATGGTATGATACTAAACCCCTTACGGGAGGGATTGTGCTTGATATTCATATGACGAAGACATAATCTTTCAATAAGTTTAATTGAGGTCTGGAGCTGGCATGTCTTTTTTAATTTATGTATCATTGTCGTTTTGCGTAGTTTCTCCTGCTTCTTATTCCGACATCGGACTCGGACTTTTTAAAACTAGGCTTCACTGTGCGTATTGCCGTGTGTTTGTTTAGTCAACATTGGCTAGGGGTAATGGAGGAAGGTTGAGATCTAACAAAACATGTTTAACCCCGCCGCAATGTTGCGCCTGTTGCAAGTCAGGACCCCCTGACATTTGTTAGTTTTGTATGATTTTTTAATTTTAGCTCATTTATATGTTTTGGAGTTAAGTGTGACGTCCATTTTTACTGAATTAGTACACATTTTTGTTTAGGGGCAGCTGAAGCTCGCCTCATGGTGCGGGATTTTCAACTATTTGGTCTGCTTGTTGTCTCTTTCATACAATCCACATTTCCGTTCTCAATTTGATTGAATAATTCCTCATTAAAATCCACGATGCATAAACTTGTAATGTTAACTAAATATCTAAATCTGTACAGTACACATGGTTATGATTATACAAGATGAGTCTAGTTGTTTTTTGTTTTAAATATACATTGTAGAAATCAATTTCAAAAACGATAAACAATCGTATTACATTATTTGAGTTTGATAATAAGTCTAAAGTTATTGAAAACTGGAATCATTGTAAAACATCTTTTTAGAAGTCTTACTACGATTTGTTGATGAATTAACACCTGTAGTTTACGTTACAAGATTGTGATTGTTCTACTTCTTTCTGATTTATCTTCAATGACAGTAAAAATAATCTGCATGATATAAACTTTAACCATATCAAAAGTATATAGGATGGACGATGCAATATGTCAAATCTTATCGACAATCCAAAGTTGAACAGTGGTTGGCACCGTTGTTTTATGTGTAATGTGAGCTTGAACCTTGGAGTTAAAGACGTATTCAATATTTCATTGCCCTTTCAAACATACTAGATATCAAAGATACCGTAGGATTAATAACATAAACTGTACCAATTTTTCTGCACCAGATGCACATTTCGACGATCAATGTTTCTTCAGTGATGCCAAAATATTTGAAAATCCAAAGCTTATTAAAAGGATGAAGAGCTTTTAACCAAAAAAGGACAAACAAACATAGCCAAAGCAGGGCAAGGAATCAGAGCTTTGCATGAGGGAGATACATTCCTTAATTTTAAATAATTTCAAAAATTTTGTAACAGCAAATTTTAATTACACAAAATCCGTATTTGTATGCCAGTAATTAGGATTAATGATTTGAGTTGAAGAATGCAATTGAGTTGTATTTTATACTATCATCTGCCTTAAGTAAGATACTTTAAAACAAGCTGTGTTGTATAAGGTAAACATGAGTATGGTGTAATTTTTCCATTTGAAATAAAGTAGAACAATCTTGATGTTGATGACGTAATAAAAACATCAAAGCTGACATTTTGTATTGAAGTGTCCTGACATTATCTTCTTATTTATTTGTCAATTTGACATCCTTTTGAAGCGATTCAATTTGTTTTTCTCTTCGAATTTCATGGGATAAAAAATTGCGTTAAACATACAATAACCCGAAGCAATGCGTGCTCGCTAAATAGGTTACTTCTATGTCCAAACATGTTGTGTGTTTTTTATACATTGGCTAGAGGTATAGGGGGAGGGTTGAGATCTCAAAAAAACATGTTTAACCCCAGCGCATTTTTGCAGGTCAGGAGCCTCTGGCCTTTTTTAGTTTTGTATGATTTTTAATTTTAGTTTCTTGTATATATTTCGGAGTTTAGTATGACGTCCATTGATACTGAACTAGTACATATTTTTGTAAATAGCCAGCTAATGCACGCCTCCGGGTGCGGGATTTTCTCGCTGTATTAAAGACTTATTGGTGGCTTTCGGCTGTTTTCTGCTCTTTGATCGGGTTGTTGTGTCTTTGACACATTCCCCATTTCCATTCTCAATTTTATTGTATAGAGAAATAACAAATACGTCATGATACGATATGAATATTGGTTACTTAAGTGATACACGAGAGGAGATTTTCTTTTTGAGCTACAAAGTCATTTTGTTTGAATGTAATTTCATATCAAATTATACATAACTTTGGTAATACTTTATACTTACACATCCTGTTTCTATCAGTTGTCGTGCACCAGCCTGATACTGTTTTTTCAACAGGGCGTATAATATAAGGCCGTACAACTCAGAAGTTGAAACCTTGAGTTTTAGTGTGCGTCCTGTTTAAAAATATGAATACACTAAGGTCATTTATGTTTGTTCATCAAAATCTAGCAAGAGCAAGAGCAAATCAAATAAATGAATAATAATATTTAAACATTTTATAGCACTAGAAGAAAATAACCAAATAATGTTCAGATTACAGTACATAAAGAAATCATGATTTAGCAGCATTAACCCTTTTCAGGTTAGTCCTGAACTGCCATAATATTGATCCCATATGATATGATATTAATTCAAAAAAGATAGTGGGAATAGTTTAAATCTTTGGTTCTGTCTACGTATGAAGACAAAAAAGGTATAAAATTCTGAACGAACGAAGCTCTTGATAGTTAAAACATCTTGCACGTATGTATCCCGTTTCAGCGGCAAGATGTATATTCATCTAGTACACTTTAATCTGTTCATATGCCAATTGCACCCCCCCACCCCCCCCCCCCCCCTAAAAAAAAAACAAAAACGATCAAAAATGTTTTCCTACAGACGAATCGACATTTTGAAATAAACATTCATTGTAAATATGGTGTAACGTTTGGTGTGATTTCACGTATACAGTAATTTACATCGAAATGTATAATAATGAATTATGTTTTCCTGGAAAAACTACGCACTCACTTTTTTTCTTTGGTTTATCCTTTTTGAAAAATCGTTTGGCTTTGGCTATTTTGCTAGTTATTTTGTTATCTTCATCTGTGTTCCCTACTTCTGATACTTCATATTCATCTTCTGAATCATCTTCTTTTTTTTCTTTGAGAAAAAAAGATGTTTCATATCAAATGTGTTAAAAGGGTTTATCGGCAACTTTTACATTTTACCTTTGATCTTACTGCCTCATACTTTTATGATCAAGGAAAGAGCTTGATACTAAAAAATATTAGGCAATGACGTCATATATCAGTTCAGCAACGTCAGGTGCTTAAGTCTATCCGCGTCAATTTATCAATGAAATGCACGCGACTTCTTTCATACAACCGAACAACTATCAAAACGTTTTGTACGCGTAAAAGTTTTACTCATATTTCATTTTACTTCATATTCTATACCAAAAACATACAGTTAACCTTTTTCTTTCCATTTGTTCATTTATGATAGCTTTCATTCATGTGAGATATGTTGGTTCTGGTTTTTTTAACTGTCAATGTTCAATTGTGAAGTGCAATATCCTAGTCTCCCTCAATTTATTCTTTTTCACGGAATATTAAATGCGATGATATGATGGAGGCATACCGAAAGACAACACTGTTTACCGGTCACACGAAAACGTTAACTTCCTTTAAGTATGTAAATAGTTTTGTCCCCAATATGTATCCGTCAATTGAGGTTTTCTTAACTCTTGTTGGTTGAAATATGGTTTTGGATCAATGTTTGACAAAGAGAGGCAAAAGATACCTAAGGGACATTCACACTCAAAAGTCGAAAATAAACGGAAAACAACAACAGACAAAAAAACATAAAACAAATAACATAAACAAAACACAACATAGAAAACTATAGGGTAAGCACCATATACCCCACCATAATTTCGGGATGTTTGCATGTGCTCCATAGGTAGATAGATCCTGTTTTACATGTGTCACCCAGCGTCTTGCTCATGATGATACATACTCGGTCATAATTCTAATTTTGTAGTGACATCCAAATGAAAAAAAGACGTTATGGTAGCTTCGACATTTAGAACATATCCGTTGTAATCTGTGACAAGCCTTGTCTTTTCTTTATTGAAATTTAAGTAGTAAACATTGTAAAAGGATCGTATCCTTATTGATATAGTGTTAGTATCGTTTTGTACACTGTGGTTTTCAATATCATACTGTAGATATGTTCATGCTTAGACAATCAAAACAGATTCACATCAATAACTATATAGATACCTCGAAAATCAGGAGCTTTGTATGCCATATTGGTCATGGATTTTAGATAAGACCATAGGCCGTTTTTAATTTCTGATGTCATATCCTTTAATTAAAGAAACGAACATATGTTTTACAATAATAATCAATATAAAGCTCTTTTGTGTAATCATTGTATCTGAAATAAGTAAAGCAAATACAAGTCAATCAATCATCATCCGTAATAAATACTGGTATATCTTTTCCCAATGTATGATCCTTTTTAATTTTATAAAACTGTTTTCTTCCATAAAAATAAATATATTTTCTGCAATATATTTGGGTGTAGGAGATATAATCGTACATGTGTAGATATGACGGCTTATTATCAAAGCATGCATGAATACCCTAATTGTAAAGGTAAGTTACGTTAAAATGAGCTCAATCAATAGTGATTAAAATATACTTCAATTTATATACTCAAGAACAGTTGGCCTCCGACTATTCCATTGACTCATGTTCTCACTAAATTCATGTGTTGCTGCATAATTGTATTTGATTGTGATTATGGTTTATACCATACCTTCTGTAGTGTAATTCAAAACGAAATTCCTACTCACTGAAACAAGTATCATAGAAATGAAAAACACGGGAAGAAAATATTCTACATTAAAGGAATGGTAAACACATAAATGAAAAAAAAAAACAACAGACAAAACCATAATTACAATAAGACAATTAGGGTACTAACACGCGAAGATTCTCAAAACACAATAAGGAAAACGAAAATATTTTTTCTGTTAGGACAATACTCGTAGATCTGTTTTAATTGTTTACAGCACGTGTAACACTCCGAAGTTCTTTTGTTTGCAATGCTACGGTTTTGCGAACTGTTTTTTTACGTGTAGATGTGAACATGTGTTGTTGATGATTTGTACTACTGTGTTGCCTTCACACGATAATTTATGGTATTATTTCATAACAAATCATTTATAACAATAAGTTGAGTTGTTTGTCTTAAGTTCTTGTAAACTTTGTAAACAAATAATCACACAACACTTCTGTTAGAGACCATATGTTACCCTCCAGATAGCTTTTTTTATTTATTGTGAATTGTGGATGATTTGAAATATACCCTACATCTTCTATTCCTACCTCTTCATAAATGTATTCCAGTGATCTACAACCAAAAGACGTTTTGATATTCTCTTTTGGTATCCTCCACTTTCCTTCCTTTAAAAGGTACATCGATAAGGCGTTCGCATACATTTTAGTATATGATCCCTGAAATTTCAATTACTTCTTATTTCCTGATTTTGTCATTGCAATATATATTAGTAGATGTCAAAAGATTTTAACATCCATCTTGATACAATATCAAATAATGCTTGTAGTTTCTGAAACAAGCTAAAAGTACGTAACGTGTTGATAAAAATCATGCCGTTCACTATTTCACCTGCATATACTATATGGTGACTGTTGTACTCCATATGATATTGAAGAAATCAACATCAGTTGCAATACAGATAAACAAGATAGTGTCCATTACCAAAAGACAAACTTAAAGAAAAAAATAACTATTAGGTGTATGGATTCAAATATAAATTGGCGAATACATAGTGATCCAGAAAATAATAGAGACGACGTGGCAGTAACTTGTGTAGTAAATGTATAACCTGCATCACTATTTTAAATGAGACAGTATCGAAGGAAACACTATTATATTTGTTTGTTCCAAAATCAATTACCTCAAAAGCTGAATGTGAAGTACTATTTCTATTCAATTTTGCATGTGGACGAATACTATTTTTGTTAGCAAAACATTTGACCAATGTATGAAATGATTCACCATGCTGTTTAAGTTCCTGGTAATGAACATATCATTTCAAAACGCGGATATGGAACAAACTGAGAACTTAAAACTTTACAAGAAGAACCCAACATTTCTTCGTCACTAAGGGAAGAAAATATAAGAAAAAGAAGGGTTGTATCATAAATTGTGTGTGATTAAAACACTGTTAAATTTGAATATCAATTTATAAAAAGTGATTTGGTCATAATTTTTGTTTATCTTAGTAAGAAAAAGTTTTTATAGAGGTTATGTCTTTATATTTGCCGGTATTGTTAACACTATAAACACGCATCAAGCGACGTTTTGTTGGTTCGTTATGTCAGAAGGTTTCGCATCCAACGGAATTCATAACAGAAAGGCAGTATCTGCAATAAGACAAAGCATTCATGTCCCATCGGAATACCAATAAACATGATAAAATATCGGTTGGCTCTATCTTAAACACAAACAACAATTTTTTCAGGCGAATGCAAAACAAAAATAAAGATGTTTGAATCATTCCTATGTTTTTAACATTAAAATAAATCTCGATTAAATCTCCAATCTTTTGTACTGGATACCGGAACTCCAAAAACATTCTTATTAAGTGGGTCGTCAATATGTTGTACTAAAAAGTTGTCTAAACTTGTTTCACCACTATTATTTCTGCAAAACAAGATGAACTTCAGAAATAATGTGAGGAGATATATTCAACAAGCGGTGTCAATCAGATGCAGATTCTGAAAAAAATCTAAAGATCTACTCCAAAATCACAATTTTTACAATGTTGCGACTTTTGTTTTTTCTACACTCTACACTGCTATTCATTATGCCAAATGATTAGTTCGACTTCGTCGATAAATTAAACATATTTAAAAAAATATAAGAGACATAGATACACATAATTTTTTATCTTGTTTAAAGTTAGAAAACATCTTTCTCAGTTAAAAACCACACTCATACTAAACTTTAAAACAACGAAGATGATATCGTCAGAATTCTGGACATTTTTAAGTTTGGTGGATGGATATTTAATCAGATAGTCGGTATGTAAGTTGATTCTTGTTGTTCAGTCATCGTAATATCACAAATTATACCGCTATTATGTGACGTCATAAACTGCATCATCGTATCCATAACAAATTAAAGAACTCGTTATAAATTGTATGCGCTCGACACACTTTTTCTATTACCTTCATCAGTATAGCTGAAAGCTGAATATTTGAAAGCCAATGATGTATTAGAACCAAAACCGTTGAAGAACTGTAATACTTAACAAATTGCATAATCGTATAAACTGGGAGTTGAAACATTAGTTTCTATAATTTGCATAAATACATAAATTAAGACATTAAGTGCATTATTTAGAATTTCTGAAGCCGGACAATGACACATATCATAACACCATATTTGTGTTTGTTGTAATATATTTCATTTTTCTGAATGATATTGCTGATGAAAATATATCTAGAAAAGCGGTTTGAACTCATGTCACTGATTTAATGGTATTTTCATGTACTTACAAAAATTTTATCTTTAATTGATCCTGTTTCCATCGACACTGTAAATATCAGAAGAAATAACATAAATATTGCTAAAATGGACGGAATAAAAATATAAATAAGATTGATTAAACAATTCCTGTTACCTTATTTAAGGCAGATCAAACAGCAGGTTCTCATTTCTAGTACAGTAGCATATATGACAATAAGGTCTTAAACTAACTGGTGTTAAATCGAATGAAACTTTTTTGCCTTTTTTACATTTGGTTTGATTGGTAGCACAGAACAAGTGCTGCAAAAATTAAAATCACAAAAATTCTGAACTCCGAGGAAAATTCAAAAAGGAAAGTCCCTAATCAAATGTCAAAATCAAAAGCTCAAACACATCAAACGAATGGATAACAACTGTCATATTCCTGACTTTGTACACACATTTTCTTATGTAAAAAATGGTGGATTGAACCTGGTTTTATAGCTAGTTAAACCTCTTACTTGTATGACAGTCGCATCAAATTCCATTATATTGACAACGATGCGTGAACAAAACAAACAGACACAATAGGTAAAAATGTCAAAAATAGGGGTACAGCAGTCAACATTGTGTTATCATCTTAATCACTATGAAAACAAACAAATGTAACAAAGAAACACAAAAAGGCATACATCAAATTTAACATCCTCATTTTGCTTTTTTATTATACGATTTTATTTATCTATGTATATCCACCCATAAAAGATAGAAGATGGAAGGTTTTAAGTACTGGCGTAGAATCGCGCGTTTGACGTCACACAGGTAGATATAAAATAATGTTGTCGTTCAAAGTATGACGGGATACATAAGTACAGTGTCACGTCAAATGGATATCACAAAAAAACAGACTTAATAGTAAAAGTAATATTAATAAAATAAAATAATCTCTCGTTCAAAGTATGACGGGATACATCAGTGACCTTAAAACATGTCAATAGTTTAGATGTATGTTGAAATTATTGATAGATTTCTAGCAGTTCAACACTGTTTGTATACAGTTTCCGGACACATTGCGAGAGGATTGTTATACGATGATATCATCAGAAAAGGTTATAGAACATTGTACCATGATTTAACGAAACATTTCGTTCTCATATCTGATGAAATCTGAATACCGTTAAATGCTTTCATCCCTCAGTTTTTTGTTTAACTGCAAACATTCCAAAACCACATTCCTGGCATACCGAGGTCAGTCACGATATCATTCGTCATATTGGACAGGTTTGAAACTGTTTCATTTGCATTGTCAGCTCCTGACAGTATAGTCAACCCAGCAGTAAGTCTATTGAGTATTTTTAATGCTACTTTTTAAATCAAATTGTCAGTGTGGTTTCCTCGACGAGACTGAGAAAAAATGCGATTTTGTGCCACACATGATAATTCTTATTGAGATATTTTTATTCAACCAATATAATGCTAGGATGCCGCTACTAGAAAATATTATATCTCTGAATGTTTCATAAGTCCTGTAGTTAGAATTCTTTTTTGGCATTATTTTAACAATACTATAATTAGATTGACTTGTCTTACATACGGGAGTTTTCGCTAGCTTTAAACCACCATTATCGTCGGCAAATACCTAGTACCTAGTCAGAAATATGGCAGTTGTTTTTCACTTGTTCTGTTAATCGATTACGTTTGATTTTATCAGTTTTTATGGAATTATTCTTTTTTAATTTAATTGGTGTTGAATGCATTTAAAATTCATATTTTATTATATTTCTGACTGATTGTAATAAAAAGAAAATCAGGTTTTTCTGCCTCATTATCCATAATCAACACACCTTTTTGGAAAACTTAGTATTCAAAGCTTTTCAAATTCATATTCAATTATATTTCACTCGCGTCTGACGTCATAGATTATAAGCCTGGTATATTTGATTATATAGTGGTGGGAGTTCTAACAATGAACTGATTGTTTCAAGCAGTTCATTATTGTCACTAAGAAATTCGAAAGACAAAATTGACCTTAAAGCTTGCTTGTTCAATATTCAGGATTATATTTTTTAACATTTTAACGACAAACAACCCAACACTTACACAAAAGAAAGGAGGACTAGACATATAAGTCATTTAATATTAAATATACAAATACATCGATTTAAAACAAAGATCAAAAGAAAACTTGATTACAATTTAAGCGCGTGAGAAATTAGTTGCTGTGAATTATTATTTATGTTCGGGGATAGCAAGTATCTTGGATTGAGGAAAACAAAACTTGTATTTTCTTAGATATTTGATGTCGTAGTGTAACCATACATTACAATTTATGTTAAAACAAGAATAAAATGTATAACAAAAATACCAAACTAAAAGTTTCATTAAAAAAATGGAAGTCTATACAAGCTGACAAAATCAAACGTTATAAATTAAATGAAGTAGTGAAAAATAAACATTTGTCAGCTTAATCTCTCATTTATATAACAGTTGTTTATAGTTCCGTCATGTTGACATTGACCTATACACAAGAACTCAACTAAATCCCATAAATAATTACGGATCCACTGCAGCAGTACTTTGTTAAGCCATGCAAACAGTTCTATTCCGTTTTGGTATTCAAAAATATTACTATAACTGTGGCATGGTCATCAAAGAATGTTTGATGATAGTTTTGCATTTCTGACAATGGTTATTTATTGATTATATGTATCTTATTTTTTCGGAAAAAAACATACCTCCGATTAAAAGACAGCAAACGAGAGCATCTAAAGTGTCCCGAAAGTCCAACTGAATCTCTGAAATTACAGCTATTTCATCTGGATCATCCTCTCCGTCATATTTTCCCAATGTGTAATCCCTTGGTTTGGATGTCTTAATGCTAGATGGATTTTTTATGTCTGTTATGTGTTCTGTCATCTGTACTGACCCATAATCTAGCTTCTGATGAGTTAAAACGCTTACATCCAAGCTTTGTTTCTGTGATATTTTTATAAATATCTTTATTACAATAGTCTTAATAAATCTTAAGACGATCAGATATTTATCAAATTGTAATTTTTTTTTTTTTTTGTAGACTCAATGCTATATAGTCAAGACTGTGTTTTCATACATTCATACATATCAAAATGTAGTACTTTGTGCAAAAACATTTTCAAAAAATATAAACACCCCTATTATCAAAAAGATATAGTTTTTCCTATTAATGTCGTTTGTATAAAGTACATTAAGATCTTTTGTCCAGAAGCTTTCTTGAACGACAGTTATCATTCATGTTAATGTTTTATACAATCACAAGCACTTTCATGCGGTTAAACGCATCACTGTTTTAGTCCGAGTCTCTGAAAAAATTACTAACTGAGAGAAGTGGCAACTTAGATATATTAAATTCTTTAGTATCTTTTCGTGGCCTTACTGTGGAATGTTGATAAACCATGCATCAGCAGGCAACATTTGTAGCGTTTGTAATCAAAAGACTTACAATCTACGGATATTTTATTCGGCATAGACTCTTCAGCTCTCACCGATAGGCTCAACATACTTATGAATTGCCCAAAAGCTATCATGGGGAGGGGGAGGGGGGGGGGGGGTCTCAGGAAGATCTTGGAAAGTTTAAGATTCTTGTCAACGAATAACCTATGCTCATTAATAACACCGAAGCTGGTTATTTTCCTGATGACAAGAAGCAGTGTTTACAAAGCAACCAAAATTTGAATTATTTGTTTTTAGTTTCATTCTTTTCAACTGTTTTTAAGATCAATATGATAATAAAATATTAATGGATCAAATATGACCACAATTGATACTGCCGTACGCAAATGAAAACAATTCGATAGATGTTCGACAATAGAAGACACGTTTTTCGAAAAGTTAATATGCGTCATCGATGATACAATGAAAGGAGAATATATATAAGCTCCTGAAAATGCAAAAATTGTAAATGTGTGCAAGCCTTCCAAAATCATGTTAATTGTATTAATGATTGATTATGTTAATATTAAGTGAACACTTTAGTGCAGACATGTCATTTGTGTAGTCATCTTGACGTCACAAACATGTGGACATTTTTAACATAGTATGATCAACTGGTAAGTGAAATGTTACTTTTAATCGAAATGTATCTTACTTAAATAAAATTAGGCACCAATAAAAAGGATCAAACAGTACATCACCATAGATAAAGGAATATAACCAATACAAATTGAATAGCCCAGTTGTAATCACTAATTCTAAAGTCGTTCAAAGGACATCACTAACTATTCATGCACGCTGATTTATGCAAGTGAGGTTAACGTTGATAAATTCATATGTATTTTTTCAACATAAACAATGTGGCTTTACCACATAATTCATTTCCTCTTCATTTGATACTTAGATTACTGAAAATACGTTCTACATAGTTAGATATGTATGTCTATGCGCGGGAACTAATTTGCGTTAAGGGCGTACTGCTTTCCAGTATTACCTTTTTGCCCAGGCCCGATTAAGTAGTGTTACATCGTACAAAGTCTTTTTGAATTTTTTTGAAAAGAATTCCGCTCCAAACAGTGATAGGAGATTTCTAAAACTTGCAATGATGTGAGAGAGTTTTTTGTGTTGCCCCATGTCGAAGGCCTATATGTGACTTTGAGCTGACTGTATACCCAATATCCTTTGTTTTTTTTTTCTATTAAATATCCGTATGAACATGAACATGTTTATGAAATATTTTTGTAATTAGATCAATTTATCAGCTTATGCAGTAATTTTGATAACTTTACATTTCGTCGCTATATATTTGAAATCCAAGTACAATGGTCTTGCTTCTTATTCAACTGCAATACGATATTTCTACAATCTACAAGTTGTTGTCAAAACTGCACTGTTCTATCGATCTCAACATGCATTTTTGAATATAATGGCTTAGTCACCTAGTTATTTCAGAGAAAAAATATTTCTATAGTGTTGTATCTCCACTATTTCTCGAACATTTTTTATGCTAAATAATTGTTATCAAAATTATCTTAGAAGTACTATGATTAAATTATTTGCATAGTTTGAATTCAATCTATGACCAATTCTTAGCAAATCCATCTGTACAGAAATAGGAATATTACAAAGTTAAAAAAAGGTCTGTCTTTAATGGAAGTATATGGATAAGTTACAAAAAGTACATTGTTTGTAGTGAAATGTTCGATCTCCAAAACGGGCAGGCTTGATAAATCTAAGTTGATTGTCAATTAAAAAATCAAAAAGTTACTCTTCATGTACGTTAATTCTAATTCTGAATATCTTTTTTCTTGTCTCATTAAATATATATGATATTGAGCTTTTATCTTTTGATTTAAATTGTTACCACTATTAACCAATGGAAAATACATTATAGTAATTCACAACACGATTTAGTCACTAAGGTCCAACAGCCACTCAGTTGATAAAAATGTAATCGTTGTTTAATAACCTATATGCGGTTTCGAACACCATCGATAACAAGTATTTGTTTGAAAAAGCATAAGTAAAGCATAAGTAAATGAAAACAAAGACGAACTGTGAATGCATTAATATATACCATAAAGTTTTAATCATTAAACAGATTCATTACCTTTAATCGAATTATAGGTATTTTTGATTTTGCTGTACTTGTCATCACTTCCCTTGTCATTCCACCATTACGCAAGGATATGACGACTGGCAATACAGGTTCTTTACTGACATCTATTTATTAGAAACATGAAAGTTTTAGTTTACGTACATATTGAATGTTCTGTATTTTATAGTATGAATTTAGCTGTAACTGGTACAATAGATACTATTTAAATTAAGCTCTGAAAACTTCTATATCTAGATTCCAATTTGATATACAACAAAAAACGAAAGCCACTGAATAACAGGGTTTTAACCTGAGACAGACGCATACAGAATGTTGCAGGCTTAAACATGTTTTCTTACGTCAAACCCTCCTCTTATTTCGGACAGTGGCGTAACAGTTCAACATTTTAACAACCAATAAAACTCACTTAAGAAGGGCTTAAAAGCATGGAAAAAAAATACACAAATTACACCCAGTTCAGATCTGAGAGAACTCTCAGCTAGCTTTTCAACTGCAATATCTAAATTACCCCCCACCCCGAAAAAAAACCAAAACCCAAATAAAAAAACAATTAATGAACAGACTAATTCATGTACAAAACAGACTACCAAAAAACGAATTTGATATACAACAACAAACGAAAGCCACTAAATAACAGGGTCCTAACCTGAGACAGACGCATACAGAATGTTGCAGGCTTAAACATGTTTTCTGACGTCAAACCCTCCTCTTATTTCGGACAGTGGCGTAACAGTTCAACATTTTAACAACCTATAAAACTCAATTAAGAAGGGCTTAAAAGCATTGAAAAAAAATAATACACAAATGACACCCAGTTCAGATCTAAGAGAACTCTCAAATTAAAGCCAATAACAACTATTAATACAATAATGGTTCAAAGACATAAGTATCAATCAGTAAACATACAACAATCAAATGTATTTATTGTACAGACGTTATTACCAGTCAAAGACAAACCTAACCTTGGTCAATGTTAATATATAGGTATCAAAAGATTGAAGGACAATGAATGTACATAAAAGCAAAAACAATATCTAAAGACATTATCACAGTGATGAATTGGTAGCCATTATAGTTAGTTCATTTGAAGGATTGACAAGTTTACTCGAATCGTATCTAAATTTACGGGCTCGGTAAACAACATCACCGTAGAAATTGAAATATGCTATCCTTTTTGTAAGAAGTCGTCCCTCCTGTCCTCTTAATCTAGGAAATAACTAATAATTCGGAAAATATTTAGTTCCTTTTTGGTATAATAGCTCTTCAACTGTTTCAAACCGATTTGCGTTTACTTGAAGTGTGTTTCTTATTCTAGAAATAGGCGTATAATATACCGCAGACATCTTATACGTTCAGGTATTTCACATCCAATATTTTATGGTAATATTCTTTACAGAGCACAAAAATGTCGGCATCCACCTCAAAAGCTAACCAAACCTTTAAACAGACTTATTCCAAAAGGATATAGTTACGATACTGTTGTAAAGTCATTAAGGATTGCATATTTTGGTATTAATATTGATTCACTCATAGGGTCTTTGCATCGGAAATAAACACATTTATTCTAAAACCAGTTGTTGGCATGATACGGGTTATGTTCTTCTCATATATTTTAGGATGGTATGATACTAAACCCCTAACGGGAGGGATTGTACTTGATTTTTATATGCTTTCAATCAGTTTAATTGAGGTCTGGAGCTGGCATGTCAGTAACTGCTAGTATTTTTTGTTCATTTATGTATCATTGTCATTTTGCTGAGTTTCTTTTGTTACCTATTCTGACATCGGACTCTGACTTCTTTTAAATTGACTTTTACTGTGCGTATTGCTATGTGTTTCTTTATTCTACATTGGCTAGAGGTATAGGGGGAGGGTTGAGATCTCACAAAACATGTTTAACCCCGCCGCATTTTTGTGCCTGTCCCAAGTCAGGAGCCTCTGGCCTTTGCTAGTCTTGTATGTTTTTTAATTTTAGTTCATTTATATGTTTTGGAGTTTAGTATGACGTTCACTGAACTAGTACACAATTTTACTTAGGGGCCAGCTGAGAACCACATCCGGGTGCGGAATTTTCTCGCTGCGTTGATGACCCATTGGTGGCCTTCGGTTGGTGTCTGCTCTTTGGTCGGGTTATTCTCAATATTACCTATTATTTATTTCTAAATTATTTGAAACAATGTGATACTTGAATATCCACATTATTCATACATTTATATAAATAATACGAGGAGGTTATTTATCACGACTATTCCTGTTTAAACCACGTGTTACAATATGATGAAAAAGCGTCTTTATTTACCAGATGACACGGTCCAATCTTTATAAACAGGACGATATTTTAGACTTTGTATTAAAGCTTTTAACATCTCGGTCTTGAACGATATTGAGGTCAATCGACAAAACTTTGCCACATCGATCATATGTAAAACTCGATGATCTATTACAGTCTAAAGTCGAGAGAATTTTATTTCTATGCAGACCTCTGATATAACGGACGTATAATTAAAATTGAAACTTCTAGTTTTGTTTTGTATGAACACGGACTAAGAGATGGTGTTAAGTCTAAGCATTAGGAGGGATACCGTTTTGAATGGTAGGTCATCAGGTCATTAAATATACTAAATAAATTTCGCTACCATTGGTTTTTAATATAGATCGTGAAGCGTACCTATATTAATACGATGATAAATTCGTTGATGTCGATTAATACGTTTACCATGGTACCTAAATTTCAGTCGAAATATTCTTGAATGGCAATTTTTCTGGGACACTTTCGATTCCGCAGTACATATGAACCCAAGTCTTCCAGACATTCAGAAATTTAATTATTTAAATTCACAACTTGTAGGTGAAGCTGCTCAAACTATTGATGGGTTCGCATTGACAAACGTTATTTATAAGGATGCAGTTTACGTATTAAAAGAAAGATACGGACAATCGAGTAATATTACACAAGCACACATGAACGCATTGCTAGACATGAAATCACCAAATGCTGATTTAGCTAGTTAATACGTCTTTTATGACCGTTTAGAGGCATCTGTACGCGGATTTCAAGCTTTAGGGCAATTGCAAGACACTAATGGCACATTACTGGTCCCAATAATTTTGAGCAGGCTTCCAGGAGAAGTAAAACAAAATCTAGCACGGGAACATGGATCAAATACTTGGATTTTATCAGATTTACTTAAATCTATTCAGAATGAGATCAATATAATCGAAGCAGGTCAGGATTACTGTATCCGACAAAGCTATTCTACCACGCCTACATGTACGTTTCTAGTTGAAACACAGTCAAATAATGCAATGAATGTAACTCTATGCCGTTCTTGCAAGAAAAAAAAGATGATACTAGCTTATGTAGTAAATCAATGGTCGATAAAAGAAGGACATATGTCCAAAGTTGAACTTACATGAATCAAAATAAAAATCATAACGAAAACGCGAACATTCTACTGAAACATCACAATCCGTAAATGTAAACATAGTAACTGATAGAGATGGAAAACACGTCGACGACACAAACATACTTCACTCATTACATAAGGCACATACCAGCGTATTATTGAAAACTGCAGATGCACCCGTTTGGTCCAATAGTAAAGGTATTGACACAAACACTCTTTTTGATTATGGTGCCCAACGCTCATTCATTAAGAAGATCTAGCATGTTCTTGTCGTACCGAAAATAGCCGTTCCATTAGAGAATCTTGTCCAAAAATTAGACTTGAAAAAAAAGTACATGTATATGCTAGGCTTGAATCTAGCGCATCCAATCATCGATGAAAATTTGTTTGAAATTGCAGGTTAAATAGGAGCAGATTATTTTTGGCAGTTTGTTGAAAACCAAACCATCCACGAAGATGGACCTAACGCAGTATCATTAAGAACAAAGCGCATAATGGTTTCGTTGACAAAACAATATAAACTGCCCCACCCAGTAAGATCCAAGAAGATGCATGTGAACAAAGTACCGTACACGACATTTGTCCGAGACGTCAAGCAAGTTTAACAGCTTGTAAACAATCCGTAATTGATTGAATCCGCCATCTAGCTTCTTTTCATTCTTTCTACGAAAATAGTGGTATTATTTCTGTACATTTCTTAATGTGCCCAAAATCATGATAAGATAACGGGTTTTGTGAAAACTAAATGAGACAAAAAATCATCGCATAGGATAAATTCAATTACGAAGCATTATCATAATTTTCCTGTTCTGCTGTGCGGTTTGGATTGTTCAAACACTAGTTTTCTGTAGCATATCTTATGGACTGTTCTAGCGATAATTTCGTTGTTTGCTTTTTCATGGTTTGATTATCCTTCACTTATGAAATACACGTAAATCTTCACGTGGAGGGAAAGAGATAAAGATGATTTATCATTAATTCATTGAAGCATGAAAATGGGGTCATGGGTTTATCACAAAGCGAAGAGATATATTAACTCTTCATGGGCTCATACTGCCACCTACCTATATCCGTAAACTAATCACGTCAATATTTGTAACATTAGCAGTTTTTAGACTCACTGATTTACCTATCATATGAATTGCAGAATACTTCGTGTGTTGCTATGTGTAGGGGTCAACACCATATCGATTGGTAAACATACTAATACCAGTAAACAAGTGGTAGAAAATATTTTTTGTTATGCTTTGTTTTATTAAATGCACAATACTTTATGACTTATATGCAGTAATAGTGAATTTTAATCACTTGACGAGTAATAATAGTTACATTCTGCCATTCGTATGAAGTAATGAATCTCATCTTCTTCATTTTCTTCATCCATGTCTCCCCTCTCGAATTTACGGAAGCCTTTCTTTGCAAGTTCCTGAAACAGCATGTTATCAATTTTAATATCAATAAATGTATTTAGATATGACGTCAAACTGAATATTGAGAGCTAATAAAATATGTATGCATTTGGTGATTACATGTATAAGAAATCCAAATTAAAATACTAAGGCCTGTTAACACCATGCGTGATCAAATTTGACACACTTCTGTTTTGATTCGAGTCACTGGTAAACAAATTAAACTTAACAAGTCATTTTGATCTGAAAATCCATTAATAATTTGTGTTCAATATTTCAGTTAACAAGTACTTTAAGATCTGTATAGTCTATATCCAGATTGTTCAGTAGCTGTTATTAACCTGTGCGGTACAACGACATACTGAATCTCTGAAAATAAATAGAATACCACTGGATTGACTGCAAGAAAATATTTGAAAAAACTTAAAATCTTAACAAGACTTAACAATTTTAGTTTCAGACTTTTCGGCTGGTGTCTTAAAAGATACAAATGACCGGTTAAGAATTGAATTCATTTGAAGTGCTATCGCGTCTTTTGTAATCATATCGACTTACGTATATTTGGCGTGTAAAATCATTAACCGAGTTGGTGTTTATTTGTTAGCATGAAACAGAAGGGAAAAAAGTAGTATTACATTTTTGCAGCTTTAGGTTGGCCTTTTGTGTACCCAAGGCAGGTGAAGGAAGTCAACTTAGGAGCGCTGTGATTTGATGTAAGGGCATACTATATATTTTTTTATTTATTAATGAATAACTGCAGTGTGTCTATTTATAACATAAACTTTGAAACCTATTAAAATATTTTCTTGAGAATTATTCGAAGAAACTTCCTAATTTTCATAAATTTGATGTAAAATGACGGTGGGCATGAATACCATAAACAAGCTCCGTTTGAAGTTGGTCATGAAACTATTCGACTTCAATTTCTAAAACATAATAATAAAGTACTAATACCACACATAACTGTTTTGTACAGGCTTTTATTATAAACAGTAGTAAATTTAGAAAATGTTAGTATTGTCGCCTATAGAAGAATAAATACTACCGTTTTCCAAGAAAAGTTATCCTAATTAAAATGTTCAAATACAATATTAAAAATTTATAAAAACAGATCTCGAAAATTAAACTTAAATACCTCAACAGTATTTTTCTCTGTTTTATAGTGTATAAAGACATCATTGGTGGAACCGCTGTGAAATAGAACTCTTTGTCCTACAACGTGACAGGGAAGTTTGGTCTTCTCTGTAAAGTTATAAACAACATATTTGTTTTATTTATGTATATTTACTAGAATGCATAAAAAATAAATGATTATATATTTCAGTACTTGTCGAAGAATACTCGCAATTTACAGATTCTTTTAAAGTACCTTTTTAAGACGCATACAATGTACATGAATAAAACGAGTATTGGCTAAAAAAACCTAAGTTTTGATATTGAAGAATCTACATCTTTGGCGAAATCATATAAATTTATTAATTTCAAGTAGAAGCACTTTGTAATTACTTTTTTCAACAAACAGAAACGGAACTAATTAAACGAGTTTTGTTCACTATTTTATCCTTAAGTGTTCGAAATGATTTTTTCTATACGGTGTACGTCTACATTGGGTTGTCTGATAAGTTTGGTTCTCAATACTTACTTTCGTTTGGTTGGGAGAGTAAAGTTAGCATAAACTGTTGTAGAAATGACAAAAAAAGCATAAAGGGTTACTGGCTAAAAAAAACAGAAAATCTATTTTAAAGACAATAATCGTGTCTTCGCTATTGGATGAATAGAAATGTAATTTTTTTATATCATGATTAGACTTGCAATGGAAGTCGTCATAACGTGTTCGACTATGTAGAACTAAACAAGATAAATGCACTGAGTTCACATCTTTTAACAGAGATAAACATTTTAAACATGTTTGTTAGTGTGAGCTTTGTGTTTTGTTTCTATCACAGCTAAATTTTATCTTAAACTTTATCGTGATAAATATTGCTATTTGAATTTCCAGTGAGAAAACAGTCATTAAATGAGTGTAGCTGTTTATGTTAGACCATACATGATAGCGTTTCAATGGTATTCTGACGATATGTTAATAATGGAATTTATTCTGTTACACCGTTCCTCAATTTATTTAGTTCGTTTGATTATATTCTTAATCTGTTCATGTGTTCCAGTTTAGGAGGATTATTCATCTTTAACCTGATAAGAACGTTAAAACATCGTATCATGGCTACCTTTCCTTTTCTCACACGTATTCATTACAGGAAAACTGCAAGGTCATTACGATCACGAGGAATATTTCGTAGAGACGTCATCTTGGACACAATTTCTGGCTAACCACAGAGTGAGTTAACTTGATAACATTGTATTTGAAGCCTTCAAATTGCTCTACACATATTTGAACATTTTTTCCGTGAAATACGAGAAATTTAACTGCTCTTAAAAGTACAACATTTTCTTGCATTCAATGGACTGTGCTATCAATTATATATGACTTTTCGTTATCATAACATTAATTCAACACATCGTAAAATTGTATTTTATTTGTATATCAGCTTTTTACCATTTGTTAGATTTGTTCTTGATTAAAGTATCAGCAACTGATAGTCTTTTCTGCTTGAGCCCAATCGTCGGTTATACTTAATGGTCAGGCCATTACAGTAAAAGTCTACAACTTGCCTGTTGTGTCTCACAGATAACGCAACTCCACGTCAGTTCCACAGCTACAACCTGCCTGTTCAGCCCTGCAATGACGCGTCATCCCTTGACGTACTGTAAATTGACAACAACTTGTCTACACATCTCCTGAACAGGAAATACAACGGAGCATCGTTCGTAGCTGTTACCTTGACACTACGCAACAAAGCTTGTGTGTCCTAGGCAGCAAACCAACAACGTTGAACAAACATTGCCTACAGTTAGTTGATTTACATCATGGATCCCAGTCACGCGTAACAGTAAGAAGAGGTTTAGCCCCCAGATGGAGATGTCCCTTAAGAACTAGTAGTAAATCCGTCTAATACCATACATTTAAATGAAAATGCCGAGACTAGGCGAGAACGTGAACTTACCGAAAAGGGACAGGGAGCTTTAACAGAGAAACGTGACAATTCTATCATGACTTAGAGGCCCTATGGTCAGACCTAGAATCCCAGTTATTGGAAATGACCACGCCTCCTAACGACCTCCAGCAATTGCTAACAGCACAACATAAAATTGTACAAGCCTGTACTCGATATCGCAGGCTCACAGACGAGTACTTGTAATTTCTAAAAAATACAAGAACGTTAGACAGTCTTAAAGACATTGATACGTGTAAACTTCCGACAGATATCCGAATGTCTAAAGTTGACCTGGCAATTGAAACCTTACACGATCATCGCCTCACCCTGACAAAAGCTAAATCTACAAAAACCAAAACCACGCACAGTGGGAGCTCAAACGTTTCTGACATGTCGAGCCTAGCACGGATAAAACTTGTCAAGGCAGAGTCTGCTAAATCAAAGATAGCCTTTGCCGGGCAACAAGCTGCTCTCCTTAAGCAGGAAGCCGTATTAGAGGAACGGGCCATATATAGACAAACAGAAATCAAGGCCGAAATAGAACAAGAAGCCATCCAAGTAAAAAAAAAGCGGCCGTTCGTAGGAAAACCCAAATGGAACAGGAAGCCACACATGCAGTCCGAGAAATGCCGAACTTAAGGCTGCTGTGAACATTCTCGAAGCACTTGGAGAAGCTGCAGCCGCAGAAGCCGAGGCCCGTGTCCTAGAATATGACGACAGCCAAGCGTTGGACGATCTTCCAAAAGAAACGGAAGACCCGCTCCAACGTGTGCAAGATTTCGTAAATAAATACCCTGTACCGACTGCCGTACTTGAAGCAACAGGCCCTCAAAGAAAAACACAAACTCCTGTTAAGACTGAGCTTAGTCATGAAGCAACAGACTTCGTGCTATCCGTGGTATTGAACTTGCGGTCACAGACACCTGCTGTCTTGCCTACCGATACCAAGTCACCGGAAGTTACTTTTATCCAAGATCTTGGAATAGTAACCGGCATACAAAAACTAGGCTTTTCAGAGGAGATCCTTGCTGAACACCAAAAACAGGAGTTGCAGGTTGCACTTTGTAAATACAGCTGTTTCTCAAACCACGCCTCGTTTGGGGAGATACAGAATATTCATAGATAATTAATTTTGTTTTACAAACTGGATCCCAGTTTTGATCTCTATGTTTCATCTCATAGAGACATAACTTGGGAATGTTACCAGTAAATATAAATATACATATTGTTTATATTATCCTACTGTTAAGGTAGGGGTAGTTAAGAAATTTAGTGTTAGTTTAAACTCTTAGAGGTTCGGGGCATATAAACGTTGAAAATATGCCGCACAGCCGTAAATTTTGACCTTTGAAAAAAATAGTAGTGCATATGAACTTTCCATTCTAGGATATGATTTTTTTCAAAGCTTCATAGTAAAAGTGATACAGTTTTAGCCGTAAAAGGAGTTCCTAAGGAAAATTGCATTGTCAATATTTACAGAAATGCAACCTATATTGGGTGAAAAAAGAGAACATACAGAATTTATCCAAATTTGATTGATCTCACAGATTTTAATGAAATTAACTCGAATATGAAGTTTTATAAATATTTCATGAAGATTGAGAAAATCCTGGGCCTTATCTATGATGACTCAACATAAATTCACAGTTTACAGTATGCATAGTTTACTTAAAGCCCTGAATGCAAAATAAATTCATAATATATGCATATTTGTTAGTTAAATTGTTGAGAAGTGCTTATTTTTACTCTTCGCAGTCATTGAAACTCATAGATCCTTCCTGAAAATTATTGGTGGGTGTTTTTGTCCTGTCGATAACCCAAAAAGTAAGCCGTAACACCTAAATCTGCTTTTTTGTCACCGCGGCATAAACAATACAAGCTAGAAATACATAATTATCTCAACAAATATACATTAGTGTGTTCTATCCTGAATATGTACTAAATATTTCATATTAGTAGAAACAGCAAAATAATTGAGGAAATTTGAGGCCCCAGAGGAAAAAAAACAGAGAAAATTGCCTACCCCCTGGGTCATAAAACCAATAATTTAACTTGTAAATGCTATGATTTTATGATTTTAAAGGTCTTTATATAGAAAACAATAACTGTGCTTGGAAATTATGCAAAAATCAGATGTAAGCAGTCATTTCTATAAATTTTAAGTGAATTTATACATCAGACTTGTATCTGCATACATACAACTATTGCAAATATGGCTTTGTTTAAACACTTCTAGTTCATATAATAGCTAAATTATGTCAGATATATGGTTAGAGATGATACTGTTGTGACAAGAATTCTTAAATGGCCATTTGAGGCAGAAATTGTGAACTTTCATTGACAAATAGGCATACAGTAAGATGTGGACTGGAGACAGATGCAGGATTGGGTACTTTATATAATCTTGAATGTTGGAATGATTGACTGCTTAACATTACATTTACAGTATTCTGAAATGCTTTCAATTTGTTATCAGAACAGTTTTAAACAAATTCTAGGCATTTCATGTCAGAAAACATGCAAATAGGGTAAGCTGGCAATAATTAAAGTCTTGTTTTCAAATTCTTTAAAAAACTGAAACTGGGGAGGGGGTATAAAATGTACAGTAAAAGAAAACTTAGAGTATATGCAGTAATTTCTATAAGGCTATAAATCTGATAAATAAGTATAAATGTGAGAAAAAGTGTTTTTTGAGAGTTTTCTATTTGAATAAATGTTTGTATAGGTTGCACATTGTAAATACAGTTGTTTCTCAAACCACGCCTCTTTTGGGGAGATATAGAATATTCATAGAAAATTAATTTTGTTTACCAACTGGATCCCAGTTATGATCTCTGTGTTTCATCTCATAGAGACATAACTTGGGAATTTTACCAGTAAATATACATATACATATTGTTTATATTTAAATCTGTGGTAATCCTACTGTTAAGGTAGGGGTAGTTAAGAAATTTAGTGTTAGTTTAAACTCTTAGAAGTTCGGGGCATATAAACGTTGAAAATATGCCGCACAGCCCTATATTTTGACCTTTGAAAAAAATAGTAGTGCATATGATCTTTCCATTCTAGGATATGATTTTTTTCAAAACTTCATAGTAAAAGTGGTACAGTTTTAGCCGTAAAAGGAGTTCCTATGGGAAATTGCATTGTCAATATTTACAGAAATGCAACCTGCAGAAGAGATCCCTGTTGCATACCAGCAACAAATCAATACTACGTCGGAGATAACCAGATTTCTCCTACGCAAGGACCTGCTGTTCTCCCGGCTAACAAGCTTTAATGACCGGGCAGAATCCTTCCATACATAGAAAGCCAGCTTTTAAAACGTCATAGACAAATTACAAGTTTCGGATGCGATATATATAAACATTTCGTATTTGGTTCGAGCTTCTTATTATTCTTCATACGCAAATTATTACTTCTTTTTTTTTGTGAATTGCTAACGTTGTCTGCTTTTGTAAAGTTCCATTAACGTGTTTGATAGAACCATCTTAACTCCCATAGAAAAAATTGTGCTCCTTTTGCAGTCGACATGTTATTTAAAATGTTTAAAAAAACAGCTGACATTATTTTTAAACACCACGTTCCGCGTTCAAAATGAGGTCCCTTTTAAAGTTTTTTTTTTGCAGCAAACTTGTTCATCTATTCGTTTCAAAAGAAGCTGACAGTATCCTTGAACTTCTAATTCCGCTTTAAAAAATTAGATCCGCTTTAAAGTGTTATGATTATATTGATAAATTCATTTTCAATTTAAACAGAAATGAGCATGCCGTAGTTTGTTTGCTTTATGATATGATGTTTATATGACATGCATTGATGGTTGAAATCTCCAATATCAGAGAAAAAGCGGTGATCAACAATTGTTTCATTTTGAACTTTCTGTTTCTATGTAGCAACATTACACGATTATATACATTTCGAGAATTTATCGGTTAAAATGATTCATTTTTGTTATTCCGATAATATCGAAAGATGCATTTGCTGATCCTTGTTTTGTGCATTCTTTTGTTCGGTAATGTGTTTTTTTCTTCTTTTGGGTAAATTGTTGAATGTCTCTCCAAAACGTATCAATGGAAAGTGCGCCATTTTTATAGTTCGGCAAATATTGAGTTGACATATATACATGTTTAGCTGATAAATCGTAATCATTACTAATGTTAAAACAATAGATATACTAACTTGCAAAATCAAGTACTTCTTCCATAAGTATCATGTTGTCATTGTTATCGCCTTTTTCCTCTTTTTTGTCTACATCTGTATGATTTGCAAATATCAGATACAAGCTTGGTTTAAATATGTCTTTCTTGACTTGCTGGATATTACGCCATATATCAACCTGAATCTATATGCATTTGTTAAATTCACTAATGATAGCATAATAGCATTTAATCATATGCTTTCCTAAGCCTTTACACAAATAGTAGCCATTCTTACGTTACAAATATTGAGAATAATAGTTCAATAGTGTTTCATACGAACAAAAAAGAAACGCCAAAGAGGACACAAAGAATGGTTGGTTAGGAACTACTGATATATAAAACTATATTTTTTTTGTCGTACATTCTGACAAAAATAATGATATAAAGCCAGCAAAGGAGTAGCTGTGTTACGTTCTATGATATATCCATCATCATTAGCCATTTTTGCTTCAGTATGAATACAATGATATCATGTTATGTCATAGGCAACCTTTGATTACATATAAGAACGCACAAGTAACCGGAATTCAATAAAAACATGAACAGTCAAACAACGGGCAAAGAGCAAGGCACTTCTGATCTGAGGAGCAGTATTTATGCCCTCCTTATTCAATTTCATACATAAAATCAAATCGTTTCGCTCGTGTATGTAACAACGTTTTTTAATTTAACGAAAGAAATCTCTGTATTACTACAAAATTATTACAACTGGGTTATAAAACTGGTTAAAACATCTACTAACTTGTATCATCGGTACAAGGACATCATTCGTAAATATAAATCAACATGCAGACATCTTATACGTTCAAGCATTTCACGTCCAATATTTTATGGTCACGTTCTATAGAAAGCACAAAAATGTCGGCATTCCACTCAAAAGCTAATCAAAACCTTTAAACATACTTTTTCAGAAGGGATATAGTTACGATACTGTTGTCAGGTCATACAAGATGACACAATATTAATTCACTCATAGGGTCTTTGCATCGGAAATAAACACATTTATTCTAAAACCGGATGTTGGCATGATACGGGTTATGTTCTTCTCATATATTTTATGATGGTGTGATACCAAACCCCTTACGGGAAAGATGGTGCTTGATTTTCATATGATTAAGACACAATCTTTAAATCAGTTTAATTGAGGTCTGGAGCTGGCATGTCAGTTACTGCTAGTATTCCTTTGTTAATCTATTCATTATTGTCATTTTGCCTAGTTTCTTTTGTTACCTTTTCTGACATCGGACTTGGACTTCTTTTATATTGAGTTTTACTGTGCGTATTTCTGTGTGTGTGTGTGTGTTTTTTTTTCTTTCTACATTGGCTAGAGGTATAAGGAGAGGGTTGATATTTCACAAAACATGTTTAACCCCGCCGCTTTTTTTCGACTATCCCAAATAAAGGCAACAGTAGTATACAACTGTTCGAAACTCTTCAATCGATAGAGATAAAAACAAATCTGGGTTACAAACTAAAACTGAGGGAAACGCATCAAATATAAGAGGAGAACAACGACACAACAAAAACACAACATTAAAATGTAACACACACAGAAACGAACTATAATATAACAATGGCCATTTTCCTGACTTGGTACAGGACATTTTAAGAAAAAAATGGTTGGTTGAACCTTGTTTTGTGGCATGCCAAACCTCCCGCTTTTATGGCAACGTCAAACACAAAACCAAAACGACAACATCACATGACAGGACCACAATACAAATAAATGGGAGAACATATAGGACAAAGAAAAACACGAATAGTAGCTAACAAAAGGTACTAGGCTTAAAATTCAATACGCTAGACGTGCGTTTCGTCCACACAAGACCAACCAGTGACGCTCAGATATCAGGATCCTCGGGCCATTGTTAGTCTGCTAGGTTTTTAAATTTTAGTTCTTTTATATGTTTTGGAGTTTAGAGTGACGTCCATTTTTACTGAACTAGTACACATTTTTATTTAGGGGCCAGCTGAAGCCCGCCTCCGGGTTCGAGATTTTCTGTGTTGAATACCCATTGGTGGCCTTGGACTGTTTTTTTTTCTCTGTGGTCAGGTTTTTGTCTCTTTGACACATTTCCCATTTCCGTTCTCAATTTTAAATTTCTAAATTTGAAACAACATTCAACATGGTAAAAAAGGTGCATGAACATTCACTCATATATATATATATATATGTATATCACAATTCCCATTTAATGGAAGTATAACAATAATTTACTTTCACTTTTAATTTTTTTATCTCAACACTCTTTTTTTCAAACACAAGAATCAATTATCAGAAAGATTACCTTTGTTGTAAATTGATTGGCAAATACAAAATTTACTGCAAAGTAGCCCTGGGAGTCTACAAATATATAAGAAAATAACCATTTAATATAATTGTCAAAACACACACATTAAAATGATGTTAAATGATATATAACATACTACTGAAGTGACATTAACCATACAATTAAATGTTGTATGAACCTATCTAACACACGGCTGAATCATATACCATTCGAAAGCATATCATCTGTATTATCTTCTTCGCCAGTTCGTCGACTATTCGTAAATTTCTATTTCTGTCAAAGCATGGCCAACGGTTGCAATTATGTTATGTTTAAAGATACATGAACATGATGAAAGATGTCAGCATTATTATATATAATGTTTTCAAAATAATAAATAATGATGTATATAAAAAAAAATTGTAGAACATACATTAATAGTCCCTCATCATACAACATACATACTATAAAATGTAAATGACGTAAACTTTAGTAAATAAAACTATTCCCATAAAACTACAGTGAGCATGAAAAAAATGTCCGAAAACCAAAATCATTCATGTGGTATAAGTGTTAATCATATAAAACCTAATACAAGATCTGGTATATATTTCGCACAATTTAATTAGTTTCAATTACAATACTACAAACGCAATTGGCTTTTTTACTCTCACAGATACAGTTAAGTTTGCCTCATATCTTGACGTACATTTAGAAATAACTATGATGAATGATTGAGAAAAAACAACTTAATAAACCAAAGGGATTATTATAGTTTTCTAATAGTGAGCTTTCCGTTTTTATGTAGCATAATTCCTGCAGCGCCAATATTTGAATCATATATGTCCCGATGATTCGGTTTCGATAGCTGGGGTTCATTTCATGAAGTCATCAAAAGATTGCTGGTTACAAGGAAGCTGTTCAACCAAGTGTTCTAAATGGTTAAGCTGTGATCAGCTTTTCGAAATTCCTAGAAGGCTATATGGATGCCATCACGATTTGTTTGATCGGTTTAAAACATCTGACTCACAGATGACCTCGGAAATTATTCTATCATCATAACTGTAATCGCATTATGAGACTTATCACAAAATTTGTACATATCATGCGCATCATCTGTTCACATTTCGGCTGTACCTACAACTACCTCCGTCGCGGGGTTTGTGAAAGTGAGAGTTTTTGTGTTTTTGTAATGTTTTGAGGACTCAATTCTCTTTTTTGTCGTCTTGCGTTGGTGGCATTGTCAGTTTCTTTTCGAGTTCGGTGATGTAGAATGCTCCTATAAGCTGTCTCTTTTCCGAAACGAATAAATTATGCAAAACTCGGATCAATTTCGGATTGAAAATTATATTTGATAAATAGAACAATGCGAAATATAAATTAAGATTAAGTACTGTCAAAAAAAAATTAAAATATAATTTCTTGATGGAATGTGTTATATGGGACTGTGGGGGAGGGGAGCAGGTGGGGGGGGGGGGGGGGGGGGGGCTGTAAAAGTAGGCATGGGTGGTAAAGGGGTTTACAAAAGTGGTGATCAGTAACACAGAGGTAAAACGTAGTGATCGTGGGTAGGGGTGGGTGAGGTGCGAAGGAAAAAAAGTGGGAATGGCGAAAAAAAATAACAAAAAAACGAGATTTGTTACGCTCTCTTAAAATATAGTGATGAAGTATCTGTGTCACAGATGAATATGTTTTAACAGGTAGAGCAAATGCATACTTTCCTTCGTACATTTTGTGAGAATGCTTTATATATAACGTTTTATAACAAATTATTTTTGATCGAAGGATGTGACCGATGTTTTTTAGAGGGGAAAAACACCTAAACAAATATAACTGGAGAGATAGATACTCATTTGTAAAATATTGTGCTTTTGACATGTTTAAAGCTCTCAGCATTGACCAAAAAAAAAAAGTAAAAAGAATTTTTTTGTAGTTTTAACTTATTACCCACCATATTTTAGATCGTGCATGTTGGTTTGAATATGATATTGCATTGTCCATATTAGAGAACTGTTTTTAGAAGGTTAGGTCTCAGAGACTTGCTCTTTTATAAATTTAGAAAATATGACTCTCAGTCATTGTATAAAAGTCTCATTATATTAGTTTGTTAATTAAGCTTAACTTGTACTGAGTTTTCCGAAAGAAATGGATAAAACATATTCCAAAATATCGACCATGGCGGAAACGCGATTTTTAACAGAATCGTTAAGAAATCTTTCCGCACAATAATTCAATCTACGAATTGGTTGTTGACAGCGATACATTTAATGGTTGAAAGAAGCGTCACCGGTGTCATTCAAAGTCATGTATTGATGATCTGAATTGACAGTCGGTGTTGACTTGACGATGCATTCAGAGTAATGTTCTCATTCAATGAAATTGTATGTAAAAATCTATTCTTATGGGTCAATATATGTGTTTTTTTTTTAATTTAATTTTTTATTAGATTAATTGCATCATTCAATAACATAATTAAATGTGTACCTCTTCCTAAAGCAGGCAGGTGAGCATAGTAATAGTAAAAAACCCCTCCCCTGACATATTTTAGATCCAGAATCCGATGTGAACTTTTTGATTCATCCTTGTCCCACATAACTTCCACTTCGCTTCGACCTGTGTCTACCTTACAGTCGCCAATGTCTATGACGGTGCCTGGTTTTTCATCTGTTATAGAAACTACAAATGTTAATGTAACAGCATATGGTTCTGAGTCGGTATTACAATGATACATGTTAAAAATAATCATACACACACTTTGCAAGTATGGTTGATTACAATTATTTTGTTGTATCTTCGGTTCTATTATTTTACCATAACGTGTGGTTATATCGTTTATTTTTTATCTTTTCTTACCAAATTCGTTCAATTCAATATTTTTGATTTTTTATTTAGAAATAACCTTTATTATTTAACCTGAAAATGTGGCGTACATTTGGAAATATATTAAAAAATACACAAAGCCATACCAATACCATGAACATCATATAAACTATTTTCCGTCTACATACAAAGGCTTTTCATTTAACCATGTCGTGTTTCTTTTCATTTAACCATGTGGTAGGAAAAAATATTCAACCAATTGTTAAATGGAAACAAATCTACTCACATGCCATGGATTATTCCTTTATTTGTTTTACCTGATAATTACCAACCAATTCTTCCCAATTATACTTGTATGTGACAGATACATCAACAATTAAACAAAAGGAGGGAAATGTAACAAATATATTGAACGTTGATAATCGAGATATTTCATTTTATTTGGCAATGTCTTGACTGGTATAAGGGAAGTTATATCCAAATGACTGTGTTTTTCATCTGGTAAATATGCATGTTAGTGTTGTCAAATCGAACATGTATACATCACTGGTAACTCGAATAATATTTTACCAGTTAGCCGGTTATACAGTTGATGTTCAGATTCAATGTTGACAGTACTTTATCAATACATGGTTAAATGATACGATGTATCAAAGTTTGTCATGACATTCTTACGTTGATCTCTCTGTTTTGCTTATTTCCGCGTGTTACTGTTAGTGTATACACCAACATTTGCTTTTAACAATTCTTTTTAATCAGCATTTCGTTGAATGCATAGGTATAATATATGGATGATTGACATTTCAAATTGTATGTCCACTCAATGTTAAGTTACAGCGAAATAAAGAATCAAATCGTAAACATTGATTAGCTTACAATTGTTTAACGTCGTTTATTTCATACATTTATTCCATGCTAATTATGAGTTTTTATTTTCCCACAAACTAATAATAGTATGTTTTTGAGTTAATTAATTTTGTTACATTTGAAATGTTTCCAGTTTTAATCGAGTAACTAGTAAGTAAAATTAAATAATTGATTGTATTTATTATCAGGATGATCGTTTTAACATTGTACATAACTATTTATGATTTTAATACACATTTATATCAAATTAAAAAAATTCCAGTTAAGATTTTTCATATATGATATTAGGTACTTCAGACGATTAATCTATCAACCGGTATACACTTAGCAACTCTAATCAAACTTTACAATCTCAATTACTAATTGAAATTTAATATTACTAGTAATTTGCGTCTCATAATGAAACAAAAACCTTTTTATTTCAAAGAGCAACGTTTTTTTTTTTTTTTTTTTTTATAAGGACCTGATTGTCGATAGTTGTAAGCAGTTCATCTTCAGTATCACTTAATACACAATCTATTTTTAAGATACACTACATCCAATTATGGATGATGATCAGCTGATATTACAAGGATATTTTGGTTCGTACAACAGCAGAAAAAATATCTTGTGTTAATTTTCCTCTGGGTGACGTTAAATTGTCAAAATATAAAGCAAAAAATAAAAAAATTTAAAAGAATTTAAATTGTAAAAATATTAAGAATCAAATCTAGATACGTCCAATTATAATATTACAATTAAATGCCTGCTGAATCGGCTTATCGGCAATATCTTTTTATTATAGAATTGAAATTACCGCTTTTTTCTGGAGCTACTTCAACAACCGTTGCATCTTTAAATATACCGTAGGATTGTCTTTTTACTGCTGACCTTGGCTGTTCTCTTGATGTCTGCATATTTTCTCTAAAGAAGTTAAGCATTTAATTGATGATTCAGCAGAACACGTTATTTTGGTTTTTGCAATGACAAAAAACATGTTAGTAGTGTAATCAATTTATTTTTAGATAGATACTTGGTCAAAATTCATTAATGCCAATATTTTAATAGTATATTTACTTAAAACTCGCATCGCAAGACTGTAAGAAGAACCTTATCTAAATGTTATATGGAAATAAAGAAATCATGCTTCAAATAAGTATTCCTTATAAATGCAGAATCTAAAATCATTAAAAATGCTTATGAACTCCTGCAACTCATGACAAGACTCTCACCTCACATTTGCAGAAACTATTCTTTGAAATATATGACCCAGATCGTGTTTGTCGGACATGTAGCAAATATTACACAAATCAAAATCATGACACGTATTACATTTCCATCGGATACCACGTATATACTCTTTAGTCGGGCAACAATAACAAATATAACCCTCGTGAGAAACTCCTGTTAAAAAAATGAAGCACTAAGCATTCGATTTAGGCTATCTAAGTTAAAAATAATAAACAGTTACATGTTCATACTTGTAGTTATGAAATATTCGCTACTAATTCATGTTTTAAACCGATAATGCATTCAAGGATAATAACGAATATAAAGCTATTTAAATAAGCGTAAAGTGTCTTGGAAAAGAAAAGCATCTTGATTAACTAGCTAGGTTCTAAATAATATAGGCGACCATTTACGCATATTAAGTAATCTTAATGCTTGGATATATATAATGTTTCATAAAGTAGGCGATTTCGTAACAACAAATCAAATAAAACGTTGACTTATTTCTTTTATTAATACACACATTTGATAAGGAAGTTTCACTGTATTTTTATAATTTTTATTAAATCGTTTAACGTATTTAATCGGAACTACTTTTTTCATTTTTTAAGATTAAACATGTCCACATATATTGCTTTATATGTATAGTTTTGAGTTTTCATGATCCAACCGGTTGTTGATTAGGTTTTACTTTTATGTTGGCATTGCACACGGTCATGCGTTTCCAAAAATAGTTTTGACGTCTTTCGACTCAATCCCTTGAATGTATACTGATTGATACTCTAGTCTGGAAGAACATGGTTTATTTATTATATGTTCTAATATTAATTAACTTTGAACTAGCTTTCAGTAGCTGCGATTACTCGTATATCGATGTTGCATTTTGAATTTTCTTGTGTGTTTTTTTCCATATCTTTCGAGTTAAGTCATGATCCAGTTTGCTCATATGTTGTTTCAAAACCGTACTTAGTGAGGGGTTGATCGCTGCAAAACATATAAAACAACTCTACATTCTAAATGAATACGTCCCAAAAAAAGGAGCCTGTTATTAAATGATGGTCGATGGTTCTTGTTTTTCGTAAATTGATTGTAATGAATTAGTCCGTTTAATTTCCACTTTGCAATTTTGTTATCTTTAAACTCATAGTACCGCAGTCCAATTTGTGTACTGGAAGATTGTAACAATAGTGTAGGCTATTTATTAACAGATCACACGACAATGAAGTCGCACGTTGATAAAAACTGCGACTTTGAAATAATGTGTCGCATTACGAGTATTTATCCTAAAAGAAAAATGTTGAAATTAAAGCTACGTATTATTTGTCGAAGGAAAATTGCATAGTTTAGGGAAAATGATGCAAATATTGATACAAACATGTACAACTTGCAGTGTTCTAGTAAGCTATACAAGACCCCGTTGTGACAAAATGTGAAAAAAAATATATATATATTGTCATTTTTTAACACGGAATTATCATATCAAAACGACATATACTTGATATTCCAATTTGGTTAAAAGTAAAAAAAAAAAATAATAATGTGTTCCGCGAGTTACTGTTTAGGAAGGACATCACATTATCCATGTGTTCATTTGTATATGCTCAAAAAGCTAAATTTATACATGCTATTAAGAAGTAAGTTACATTTGTCAAATAACAGTACCTGATGGTCCGTTGTCAAACAGTCGTAAACAATTACTTGACAAACTGTAATCCTCTATATTACCATTATCCCATTGTACTTTTACATCATGTTTAAGTGTTAACATGTCGACTTTTGACATCCTCTTTCTGTGTTTGGTTTTTACTGATTCTTCTTGTGATGTTATATTTTCATTTCCTCTGAAATCTCCAACCTTAAGGAAATAATAGTCATTGCATATTATTCATTGGGAATTAGCAGTATTGATGGAATTCATCATGACAGACAGTTTTACCTATCTCTTTCATAACAAAAACAATCAACTGAGATATGTCCCGCCCGTTAAAAATGTAACAGAGAGGCAAACGATGCATAAGGAATATTCAATCTTATAAATCATAAATGAACTGACAACAAGACTCGAACCCCAACAAAAACCAGAGATGATATCAGGGGCCCCGCAAGAGTCATATCCAGAACCACACGTGGTATCCGTCGTGTTACTCGTGAAAGTACGAACCTGTTGATAGGTCTCAATCGGTAGGTCACGTTCGAGAAAAGAGAAGGGGATAGCGGAAACGATGATAAGAACATGTTCATTGTCATCGGTGAATCATTTATTCCAAAGCGGTCAACCATTGCGACTCGTGATACCGGCCGTCAGGTTTTCGAAGGTATTATTTCAACTTCATCACATCGAACCCTTGTATTAAAAACAACCTTGTATGCGGCAACCTTTTATTAAGAATATAGTGTTAGGAAAAGCAAGCTAAATATATGGAATATCGTTTCAACTAGGAGATATATATTCCATGTGAATGCATGTCAAGTTCAATGCATCTTCAGGACGAGAACAATGTTAATGTCATAAAAAAAACTGTTTTCAACTATATACGATACACTGAGCTAGTCACTATTTGCTTTACCTCAAAAAAATTTCGCGTGGGAGGTAAAGACGTAGCGAATACCAATTTTAAAGTATGGCTTGACAGAATGACCTCCTGAATACTTCGAAAGATTAAACATAGAAACAAAGACATAAACTAACGAACAACGCTTGATCGAGACGTAGCCTACGTAAAACATGCACACAATATTGTATGGTTGAATCAGTTTTATGCTTCTACAAAGCTATTCGCATGCTATGATTGACCACATGAAGTAAAAGGCCAAAGTACGATAAGGGGCGTTTTTGGCTCCCTCCTCCAAATAATTTCATATTAATATCGTTGATGGTCTTGGTATAGAAACTTGAAAAAACAATGATTGTATTGTGTTCCGGTGGAAGGAATGTTGCCTAGCAATGGTTTTTATTAAATATTAAAAATTATCACATATTAACTGCTTTATCAGCACAAATTATATCAATTCCAAAAATTATAGTTTATGCCACGTCACTTTCAATTTGAAAGAAAATCGGAGGCCGTTCTCTAGAACCGGTTTCACAAAAAAACTTACGACTTAGATTGATCGTAAGTCACGAACAATTCAGTATACTTACAATCAATCTGAGTCGTAAGTTTCCTTGTGAAACCGACTCCTAATACTTATCGTACCTTATCCTTTAATTACACAATACAAAACCTGCACATGCTAGTATCAGGATGACCACTAACCTGAACAAAAAATTAAAAAAGACATACACATAGTTATATTTATATCTGGGACAAATGTGAGCTCTACTACAAGAAGCAATTGGCTTGATTAAATCTTACATGTGTTACTGTTCCTAAATATCCTAGTCCACCATCACAGTTGTTATTGTCATCCCATCCAGGACCTCTTACAACTCTTGCACCTTTCTGTACATTTTCTGTATTACAAATAACACCGAAAAGTATTACATTTGTGCATATTCACGTAATTATATATATATTATATAGAGAGAAAAAGTATATTTTAACAAAACGCATTTGATTAGCAGGTCGAACAACAAATGTTCTTAAACCCCGCTGACTGCCATTGGCGATTGCCAAATAAACGGATCACCGATGTAATAAATGGATCTTAATTTTAAAATTAATACTAAACAGAAAACAATAAACTTGCGGAAAAGATGATATACCGCAAACAAAAGGTGCAAAGGTTTTGCACACCATATCCGGATTTCGACAAATAATGTCTCTTCAGTGATGTTAGGAATCGAAACGGTATTTGCAAAGCCCAACAATTTACCTCAATTTAGGATAGACTCTTGAATGTTGAGGAGTCAAAATAGGATGAACGGATCATATACACCCTAAGGCAAATATAATACAAGCCCAAACGAAAAAATATAAACAAGTCTAAATTGAAAACATTGTTCAAACCTATGATTGCGTTGGATAAAAACCCAAATTTTTATACGTGTGCATGCAAAACAAATTTCTTGTTAGAGGGGTCTAAATAGAGCACAAACAACATTTTCCAAAAGACCAAAAAAGTGAAAAGTACATTTTAACAAAACGCATTTGACTAGCAGGTCGAACATCAAATGTTCTTAAACCCTGCTGACTGGCATTGGCGAATGCCAAATAAACCGATCACCGATGTTTTAAATGGATCTTATTATTAATTTATTACCAAACAGAAAACAATAAGTTTGCGGAAAAGATTGGAATACTGCAAACATGAGGTGCATGTTACCTTTTTTAATTTTTTTGGTCTTTTGGAAAATGTTGTTTGGGCTGTATTTAGACCCCTCTACCAAGAAATTTGTTTTGCATGCACACGTATAGAAATTGCGGTTTTTATCCAACACAATCATAGGTTTGAACGTTGTTTTTAATTTAGACTTTGTTTATATTATATAGAGCTACATTCATGGCCTTTTTGATATCGACCCGGGTATCATCCCAACACCCCCATAATAACCCAAGACGTTATTCGAGGGTTAGTGGGGTTCCAAGGATTATAACCAGGCAGATATGGGAAAGGATATGTATTAATCTTTTTATCATATACAAATTGTTTTACATATGAGGCAAATAATACGTTTATATAACCTTTTATGAGCCGAGTACAAATAAATTTTATATTTCGAGACAATGTATGATTATTCTGTACATAATTCAACTCTTACAACTGTTCCAAATAATGTATATTTGGGATAAAAAGTTTTTTTTGTATTTGAAGCGGACGACGTAAAAATTCCGCGAACCTTGTATTTTGAATTGACGTCATACATAAAACTCCACGGAAAAGCATTGTCAACGTCATCAATAAGGCGATATATAATCACGTATGATTTATTTCACCAATTAAATTCTATGATTGCAACTTTAATAAACCGAATACCATCTGTTATGTCTTTTTGTGTCATCATGGTCATACGTTATTTGTAAAAGGAAGACGCCGTGAAATACCACATGTAACATGCGCGAGAGGCACTGTAACAATTATTTGCACTAGACGCCCCTGATAAGGGTTATCAGCTTTGGTGTTAATTAATGGCTAGCTTACCTCCGCTAATTACACATGTGAAAAACTATCATGTTAATGGTAAGTATATGAAA